CTTCCCTCCTTTCCTCCACTTCTCCTTCTTCCTTTCTGCCTCCTTCCTTTCTCTTTCTCTTTCCTTCCTTCTCTTTCCTTCCTTCCTTCCTTAATGCCTTGCTCCCTCCCTTTTCCTTCCTTCCTTCCTTCCTTCCTTCCTTTTTCCTTCCTGCCTCCCTCCCTTCTCTCTCCCTTCTTCCTCCCTCCTTCCTTCCATCCTCCCTTTTTCCTCCCTTCTTTCTTTCCTTCCTCTCATCCTGCCAGCCTCCCTCTCTTTCCTCCCTTCTCTCTTCCTTCCTTCCTCCCTTCTTTCCTTCCTTCCTCCCATCCTGCCAGCCTCCCCCTCTTTCCTCCCTTCTTTCCTTCTTCCCATCCTGCCAGCCTCCCCCTCTTTCCTCCCTTCTTTCCTTTCTCCCATCCTGCCAGCCTCCCTCTCTTTCCTTCCTTCTTTCTTTCCTTCCTCCCTTCTTTCCTTCCTTCCTCCCATCCTGCCAGCCTCCCCATCTTTCCTCCCTTCTCCCTTCCTTCCTTCCTCCCTTCTGGAGCTTTTACCTCTCTCGGCGTCCATCCCTCCTCCAAGGCCACTTCCGATCTCCCCCTCCTCCAAATCCCTGCGGGAAGAAAGCAGAACCCCCCCTCCCCCATTAGGAGTCCTATTTGAGTCAGGGGGCTCCCGAGGAGGGTCTCTCCATTCCAGGTGGACCCAACTGCGCTCCGAGGAGCCCCCTCCCCTCGGTGAGGAGGGGGAGGGCTCCCCCTTCCAACCGGGACCAGTCAGTGACACAGACCAGCCTCGCCCCGCCACCCTCGGTGACCCCCACCCCAAAGCCCCTCCCTCCTCCCTCCTGGGCTCCCTTGGGAGGGGCAAGTCCCAGAGCCCAGCAGAATGCGTCTCTCGCACCTGCTACCTGAAGAGACCCTCCCCCCCCACACCCAATTCCCTGGCCTCCCCGAAGAGGGAGGTAGCAAGGAAGGGAGGGTGTCGGTTGATGGAGGTTGGGAGGGGGGGAGAGAGGGAGGAAGAAAGGAAGGAAAAAGGGGAGAGGGAAGGAAGGAGGGGGGAGGGGAGAGGAAGGAAGGAAGGAAGGAAAAAGGGGAGGGGAGAAAGAAAGGTGAAGGGAGGGAGGGAGGAAAAGGGGAGGGAAGGAAGGAGGGTGAGAGAGAGAGAAGGAAGGAAGGAAAAAGGGAAGGAAGAAGGAAAGAAAAAGGGGAGGGGAGAAAGAAAGGAGAAGGGAGGGAG